CGTACATCCCATGCCATCAGTTTGTTGGTGGGAAGCCACCCATCCATTTCAGCCCTGTGTTTCCCAGCCGGCGTCCTTTCTCCCAGTTTTCTTTCCTGGCCCTTCTCTGTTGGGGTCCACCACGCCCCTGGTGTCTTCGTTGTTACCACTTCACTCCAGGACTCAGCAGGTGCTCCAGTAGAATGTCGGGGGAGGGGTCCTTTGTTTCTGAAAGGAGTTGGGGGTCATTCAAAGAGGTCGGCCGTTCCTTGAAGGCAACCATTCATCCTTAATAGAAAATAGTGATGATGGTGGGATGCTTTAAATTCTGCCAGGTGTTCCACAGACCTCTTACTTGACTCTGTTTGGCATTACCATAGATGGTGGGCTTAGACTTCCCCGATGGACCAGTAGTTGATTGACAATAGACAAAGCCCTTGCTTAGAGGGAGAGAGGAAGCCTGGGCTGCTGGGGACGGGGGCGGGAAGAGTGGGGAGTGGCGACGCTGCCTCCCTCCAGCCCCTCTCTGCTGCTGTTCCCCAGGAACACCCCCAAGGTCCCCAGCAGAGCAGCCCTGTCACGCAGGGGGAGATGAGACAGACAGACAGTCCATCAGCACTGGTTACACACTTCTTGTGTGTCAAGAAATGTGCTAGGTGCTGGGGACGCAGAGAAAGGCAAACCCTTGATTCCTGCCCTCGAGAGGCTTACACCCTAAGGGGAGAGGTAGCAGTTACTCCTCCTTATTGGCCTGCTCAGCTGCTCTGCCCTTGTCTGGTCTGTCTGTATCCTCACAGGGGAGGGGAGGGAACACTTATTAAGCACCTGCTGTGTACGAGGCACTGTGAGAGACAGGACCTTTTACAGATGAGTTAAGTAATGTGCCCAAGGTCAGGCAGCTAGTAAATTTCTGGGGCTAGATTTGAATACAGGTCTTTCTGACTCCAGGCCCAGGACACTTCAAGGACTAGCAACCCTCACAGCACCTGGGCTGGAGGAGAAGAGACAGCTGACAATCTCTGCTTTGCCTATTGCTGAGTTCCATTACTTTTGGGCTTTCTGCTGTGGTTCTGAGGCCAAGAGCCACCACTGAGCAGAAGGTACAACTTCAGGTTCACCCCACACCATCACCATGGTCTTTGCATGCTCGTTGAAGCTTATTCTCAACCCTCACCTCTTCCAGGAAGCCCTCCCTGATTCACCCCATGCCTCCCTTACCACTCACCCTCAGTCCCAGAGGACCCAGAGCCCATGTGGCCTCTGCTTGGAAGCCCCCAACCTGGGGCCCCCACCCCCAGAGGCTCTGACCATCAGGAAGTCTCCCCTGACTCCAGCATTCACTTTCCCCCCAATGCTCCTCATTCTGACCCTTGGGGCCCAGCTGAGCTGGGCTCATCCTTCTTCCCTGTGACAGCCCGTTATGTGACATCATCCTGCTGTCACCAACGTGGGCATGAGAAATGTTTATTGTTATTAATCACTGGTTTCTTCCACACCCCCCCATCTCCCTACTCTGGCTGCTCATGAGATCTCAGATCTAGAGCTAGAAAGGAACTCAGAGGCCATTGTAACACACCTCTGCAAGTTACAGGTGAGGAAACTGAGGCCCATGGAGGGGAAGTGACTTGTCCAAGGTCACACAGACAATTCTTCTGACCAGGTGCCCAGCTGGGCCTACGGTGGCTTGTTTTCTTCCTCCAGTGACCTGGAGCTGGGCACTGGGGAGGGGTGTCTGTGTGTGTCTATGTCTATCTGTGTGTGTGTCTGTGTGTGTCTGTGTGTCTATATCTGTGTGTCTGTCTGTGTGTCTGTGTGTTTGTGTACCTGTCTGTGTGTGTCTGTATCTGTGTGTCTGTCTGTGTGTCCGTGTGTTTGTGTCTCTGTCTGTGTGTGTCTGTGTGTGTCTGTGTCTGTCTGTGTGTCTATGTCTGTCTGTGTGTCTGTGTGTCTGTCTGTGTCTGTCTGTGTGTCTATGCCTGTCTGTGTGTATCTGTGTCTTCTATGTCTATCTGTGTATATCTGTGTGTCTGTCTGTGTGTGTTTGTGTGTGTCTGTGTCTGTGTGTCTGTCTGTGTGTGTCTGTGTGTCTGTGTATCTGTGTGTCTGTCTGTGTGTGTCTGTGTCTGTCTGTGTGTCTGTGTGTCTGCCTGTGTCTGTGTGTCTATGCCTGTCTGTGTGTATCTGTGTCTTCTATGTCTATCTGTGTATATCTGTGTGTCTGTCTGTGTGTTTGTGTCTGTGTGTCTGTCTGTGTGTGTCTGTGTGTCTGTCTGTGTGTCTGTCTGTGTGCTTGTGTCTGTGTGTCTGTCTGTGTGTGTCTCTGTGTCTGTCTGTGTGTGTCTATGTCTGTCTGTATGTGTCTGTTAGCCTGTGTGTATGTCTAGTAGTGTGTGTGTGTCTGTGTGTCTGTGTGTTTGTGTGTATGTCTGTGTGTCTGTGTGTGTGGAGGGCGGGGGCCACTCAGGAAATGTCAGGTAAATGAAAGAAAACTGCTTCGCACAAAATAAAGACCCCGAACAGGCCAGGTCTGGCTTCCTCTCCAGCCAGGGACCTTGGCCGACCTTGACCAGGCAGGGAGGGCCTGGGAGGAGAGGGGGCCTTGTTCTGTCCTTGTCCCTCCCTCCCTCCCTCTGCCTTGTAGGGCAGGAGCCGGTAAACCTCTGTGGCTTAGAGCAGGGGCTAAATTTAGAAGCGGGTCTGAGCCAGGCCTTCCCGGATGAGCCTGCGGCCAGCGGAGCCTGGAAGGGCAGGGAGGGGCTTCTAGGGCAGCCAGGCTCGGCATTCTCTCTTCCCAGGGAGTCCTCTTATCTGTCTCCTCCCCTGAGGTGTGAACGAATCCAGTGTCACCACCACAGGAAGACCCAGGGGGGCTTCCACAGTGCACACCCATGTGTTTATGTGTTTATATATGAGTATGTGGTGTGCATACGTGTGCATGTGAGTGTGTGTGCACAAGTGCATTGTGTATGTGCACTTGTGTGTGTGTGTGTGTGTGTGTGTGTGTCCTCATCACAGAAGGGCCATTTCTAGGGTATTTTCTAGGTGCTCTAATGTGCCATCATTCCCACACTCTCCCTGCCATCCTCTCCTCTCTCACATATAAACCCCCCAGGGTTGGGGTCCTCTGTGTGTCAAACCCATTCAAGAGCATAGCTTTTGAGCTCCCATCGGTGTGTTCGCTTTCATTGACAGGACATGCTGTCTGACTCCTAGTGGATCAGCATGTGTATGAAGTGGAAAAATAGAAAAGTTCAGTAAAGAAGTCACAGTTGTTCTTTCTCCATCATCCCGGCTCCTATCTTTGCTTTTATGATCTACATCTCTCAGTAAGAAAAACTTGAAGCTGGCTTGCCTCCCTACCTGAGAATTTAAAGGTTTGCAAAGCACTTTGTAGACATTTATCTTGGACCTCAACCAAAAAAAAAAAAAAGAAAAACCAAACCTGTTGAGTATGTTATATAGGTATAAGCCCCATTTTACAGATGAGGAAACTGAGGCTCAGTGTCAATGAGAGGCCCAGGGCCCCACAAGCTTGTCATTTAGAGGCAGGATTCTAACCCAAGTCTTCTGACCACTTCTAGCTGTTTCTATGAAAAGATTCTATTCTGGATCCTGTCCTCTGGTACAGTGAAAAGAGGACTGCCTTCTCTAGTCAGAGGCCCCAAGTTCAAATTCTGACTCCGCTGCTTCCTACCTGCTGGACTTTGGACAAGTCACTCAGCTTCCTGGGTCTCTGATTCCTCACCAGTAAATGACAGGGTCGGGCTAGGTCACCTCCCAGGTGCCTTCCAGAGATCAGTGACTGAGCCCAGGAGCCTCCTCAGCTGCTATCCCACTGCAAAGAACTGGACGAACTGAAGCCCAGGAGGATGTGAGGGAGGAAATGCCCTCCCTGGGTGGGAATCCAACCCCCGCAGTCTCTCAGTCTGCTCCTGCTATGGCCCCCTCCCTCCTCAGGCCTCATAGAGGCCTCTGGGCCATGCGAATTCTCATGGCCTAAGCACAGAAACCAGCATGTCACTGCGGAAAAAACCCCTGCCTCTGAAGTCAGAAGAGCTGGCTCACATGCTGCTTATGGCACTTACTTCTGAGGGGGCTCTGGGCCTCGGCCATCTCCTCTGTAAAATGGGGGTTGGATAGACAACTTCCAAGCCCCCCCCCATCTTGGCAGGGTCAGGATGAGGGGGCAACAACCAGGAGAACTAAAAGAGAGGTCCCAGGAAAGGTGACCTGCAGAGTGGGAGGAGTAGACGAGGGGACTGGAGAGGCTGAGGGACAGAGGGAGAACTGATCTGGGGCTGTCCTGCTGGACCCCATGGCCCCACAGGCCACCAAGCTTGGTACTCCCCGTTCTCCATGGCCACAAGCCTGAAGAACAGGAACTCACAGCAAGTCCAACAGCTGGACACGCTTCTCTCCTGAGCTAGAACCCAGGAGGTGTTCTCTTTCCCTTGGTTCCAGGCCTTGAAGGTCATTTGAGATCCCAGAAGTATCATTTATGCTGTGGACAGGACAAGGAGGTGAGCAAGCCTGGCATCTGGTGCTGGCTCTGCCTTTTCATCTTTGGGTGGCCTTGAGCAAAGAATTCCTGCCTCTGGGCCCAAATCTCTGCCTTCACAAGATGAGGTGGTGGGAAGGGCCCCTGAGTTCCCTTCTTGCTCTGTGTTCTCTGGGTCCTAAAGACCAAAGCATGAAGCTAGATGGTGGAGCTGGGCAGGAGGCCTGGGCCAGGGCCTGAAGGTCAGGTGGGAGCAGCCAGCCTGGGCTGAAGCTCTCTCTGGTCTCTCTACACTGCAGCCCTCTTTGGTGAGCCCCCAGGACTGCTAAAGAATCCAAGTAGGCTCCACCTCTTATGGGGTCCAGGAGAAGGTGGTTGATTGGGGTGGGGGAGAATGAGGGAAAAGCAGGGACAGACCCTGACCCTGAGGCTGGGCCAAGCAGGGTGATCTGGCCAGGCCAAGGCACAGCTGCATGTGTGGCCCTGCGTGCATACCTGACAAGCCTCCTCCTCCTTCCTCCAGGTCACCCCACTGGGCGACGCCTCTACAGACTTGCCACTCAGGGAGCTGCTGGGTCATTACTGCCACCTGCTCTCAGCCTTCTCCAATCTCACAGGTAAGGCTCAGTAGTGCCTCAGGTGTGTGTGAGAGGTGACAGGTGAGATGTGGACGCAGGTTGGCCATGGAAATAGCTGGCGAGCTTTGGCATCCCTTGTGGCCTGGAGAGCTGCTGCAAGGCGTCCACCTACAGCTTTTTTTTCTCCTGCTCCTTGCCAGCCCTGAGCCCCGGGCTTGGGGAGGGAGTCTGGTGCCAAATCCCTGAACAGACAACAAACCTGGGGCCGGGGGCAGGTGAGGGTGGTTCTTGGAGCTTAAATTCAAAGCAGAGGGAGGGTCCTCTTAATCATGACAGAGGGTAAAGGTGAGCCGCTGTGGGAGGGGAGGTGCTAGGGTCAGGCCTGGTTCCTGGTTCTCTGGCCTTGCTGTGGTCATTATCATTGTCCCTGGTGGTAGCTGTTCTCCAGAAGTGACCAACTAGGTGGGGCATTCCGGGTTTCCTGGTGCCTGCTTTTCTGTGCCAGTCGTGCTCAGGGGGTGAGAGGTGGTCAGGAGAACTGGTGATGTGCAGCTGTCTGTCCACCCACGGCCATGGAGACGCCCTACTGCTTGAGGACAGCCTCAGAGGGCTCAGCGGGGACTGAGCAGCCTCTTCCATCAGGGTGTGGTCAGTGGGGCTGATTTACCGTGGATTCGGAACAAGGACACGTGGGTTCTACCTGCTACGTGTGTGCTCTTGGGAAACCCACTCATCTTTCTGTCAGTCAAACTTACTGGCAGTTACTAAGCACCTACCATGTGCCAGTGCCAAGTGCTAGGGACACAAAGAGAGGCGAAAGACGGCCCCTGCCCTCAAGGGCTCACAGTCTAATGGGGGAGACAACAAATGTTTACAAACAAGTTACATACAAAGTAAATAGGAAATAATTAAAAGAGAGAAGTCGCTAGAGTTAAGGGAGTTTATAAAGCCTTCCTATAGAAGACGGGATTTCTGAGCCCCAGTTTCTCAGTCCATGAAAGGGATTAATAAAGCTCGGGTTGCCATGAGGATGAAAGGAGAGAATCAGCATTCCCAAGCGCCATGTAGTCATAGGATTTGGCGTGATCCCCACTCACTCCATTGCCTTCCATCGTGCTGGCTGGCACCCTGAACTACGGAGTGGTCTCTGTCATGTGCCCACATTTGGTTCTGTGTGGCCCTCCCTGCTTTCTGCAAGCATAACCAAGGCAGAAAGGGGTGGGGGAAGGGGAGCCTTTCCTCGTGTTACCTGAGTATCTATCGAGGACAGATGGATCTGATTCAATCTTGGATACCTACCAATTATGGCTTGGCCAGCCCCACACCCCACCCCCGCTCCGAGATTCTTCCTGAGACTCTGTCCTTTAATTTCTCCCCTTAGGGTTTGAGACTCTACCCCTGCCAACTACCCAAGGCTTCTAATCAGCATTTAAGCAGAGAATTCAGGACCATAATGAAAACGAAAGGAGTGACTGTTCTACCCTTAATCTCTGCTGCTTTAGTGAGCCAGCAGGAAATAGTTCTCACCCCAGTTTAGTGGCATCCCACCCATCCCCGAGTGCTGTGGGCTCAGTCCCTAGAGCCTTCCGGCACCAACACGGAAAGTCTAAGAAGCAGGGCTCTGCCCTGCCTGCCGGCAGCGTGGCAGGCCCACGGTCTGGGTTCCCACATGACAGCTGTTCCACCTTGACCCCACTGCCATTCAAACGCAGTCCCCACAGCTCCCGTCCTGGCTCCCCCCTTCTGGCTCACTCCCAGAAGCCTGTTTGTGCATGCCTGCTCTCTCTCCAAGCACATGTGGCCGGGACTTTCTGGTGCATTCACTTTTAGCCAACAGTACTCATGGCTTCAACAGCAGGCTTCCCAGCAGCTGAGGGTTGGGGTGATGACCCAGAGACAAGGCAGGAAGATGGATATTCCGGGCAGAGGAGACTTGGAGGCCAGGAGGCCCAAGGAAAAGGTGGGCAGTGGAAGCCAACTGAGAGGGAGCCCGTGCTCAAGAAGGAAATGGGGGAAGAGAAGAAAGAAGAGAAGAAAGCCAGGAAAGGTGGCAGGAAAAGAGAGAGCCGTGGAGGCCAACCCTGCAGCTCACTCCATCAGCATTCCTGCTCCTGACTTTGGGTAGATGGGGATCAAGAAGGGGCAGATCTGTTCTCCAGGTGTGTAGACCCTGGAGCCAATGGTGATGTCAGTAACTGGTGTACTTGGGGGCCTCAGTTTAACTTGTCAGTACCTACCCCTGATTGTAGGTGTTCAGGTGTATATGGGGGGTTCTTCCATCCTTTATCCCTCTTCCCAAACTTTGTCCCTGAAAAGCCTGAGTGATCCCCCGGCAGCCACTGTGCTCTCTGGGACTTCAGAGCCTGCCTGGGTTATGATCAGAAACTTAGCATTGCCAGGGACCTTAGAGGACATCCGGTAACCCTTCATTTTACAGGTGGGGAAACTGAGGCCCAGAGAACGTAAGGGTTCGACCAAGATCACAAGGGTCAGAGCTGAGGGTTGAACTCAGATCTTCTGACTCCAAAATCAGCACTTTGCCAGTGATGGGTGTGAGGCAGATCCTCAAAATGGCATTATTTTACATTTCTCTAATTCTTGGGGATTTGGAACAATATATGGCTGCTAATAGCTTTGCTTTCTTCCTTAGAAAACCGCCTGCTTGCATCCTTGTTACAAAACTAGGGAGTGTCTAAGTCTTGCTGACTCCAAGCCCCAGCCTCTCCACTACCTCTCTATTCACTGCCTCTTCCCGCTCCGCGCCCTGGTAACTTTGCTATGCTTTCTTTTGTTAATTATTTCCGGGCTGCCTGAGGATGGAGGCTGGGGCTTTCCCCATCAGCCACCTTTAGGTAAGGGATGGGAGCTTGTCTCTCAGTAAGGATGCCTCAGTCGGGGGTCTGCCTGGATCTGTAAACCCCAGTTATTCCACAATCCCTGGGCTCTGCAGTTAGCAAGAGATTTTCCTTTAGTAGACAAATGTTTGTTCTCTCTTGATGACCTCTTCTTCGTTTGCATCTGCCTCTGGAGGACAATAGGGCACACTGTGAAATTGTTTCATTACCGAGCAGTGGCCTTTTCTTACAAATTGTCAGACATCTTCTCCCTTCTCCCATGTCTCATGTATTAGGAAGTCGCCCCAAAGCCAACCCGCCAGCCTGTACTGTTGTCTGCAGCTCTGGATGACACCAAAGAGGCCCACCCCCCTCCCTTCAACCTCCAGGGACTGAGCTGCTTCACATTGTGTCCTACCCAGGGGGCTGAAGGATGTGGAATTGGGATTCATTGGGAGATGGGGAAGCTCTTGGGTAGAGCCAGCCCTAGCATGTGTGCAGTGCTGAGGAGTGTCAGAAAGACCCCATTACACACACACACACACACACACACACACACACACACACACACACACATATACTAGACAGCCAGAGAGGAAAGGACATGTGGTCAATGCCTACAACATAGCTAGAACATGAGCTGAGTTCAGTCTAAGCAAGATGGCCTAAGGCTGCATCAGGGCTCCCCTTCCTATGCTTACTACCTTGATAAGTGATCTTGGACAAGTCTCTGACTCTCTCTGGGTCTCTATTTTCTTAGATATAAGCTGAGAAGGGGTCACTCCATGATGCCTCTTGACCTGAGATCTGATTATTATCACATGTCAGGGCAGAAGATAATGGCTCCATAGCCTATGTACTCCAGTAGCATTCCCAAGATGGGAGGGGTAGTTGGATGGCAAATATGAGGGAAGGTGAAAACAAGTGTCCCACTGGAGGCATGTTCTACAATCCCCACAACCTGGAGGAACTGCGTCAATGTGGTTGCAGATCCCTATACGTAGCAGAATAAGGGAAAACTTCCAAACCAAGATCAGTGGACCAGGCTGCCCCTGAAGGAAGGGGCTTCCCATCCCTGGGGGATTCAGGCTGGGGAGGGGATGGACAGTCCCACCAAGCTCCCTTACAGCACCAAGATGCTATCACAGGAAGTTCTTATTGGCCCATCGAAGGCGGTCCTCAGGGGTCAGGGAAGAAAAAGACCAGTGTGGGCTGGAGGAGTCTGGGAAGGCTCCCTGATGGAGGTGGCATCAGAGGCTTGCTGCCTCCTCTTCTCCCCACTTCCCCACCTCCTCCTGCTTCCTCTCTTGCTTTTCTTTCAGGCTGGGCTTCCTATCTATCACCTTCCTTCGTCTCTTTATCCTCAGCATGTCTCCCCTAGTCCTGCCTCCTACAGGATGCTTTCTGGGGTTCAGACTTCTTTTTTCATTGCCTCAGTTCTACTTTGGTGGGCTAAACTTTCCCTGCCCAGGGCATCTCATTTGGGCTATGCTTCACCCTTCTGGGTAAGCAGTGCTCATTGGGTCCGAGGAGGAGAAGGCAGAAGAGTTCCTTTCTTGGCTTAAAGATGATTGTTGCCCATCTGCCCCTAATCACGGTGTTTCAGAGTCGGAAGGGACTTAGTCCACCCTGTACGGACACCCAATGGAACTTTCTTGGTGAGCGCTCAACCTGCCTCTTCTTGAAGACACCCATCGAGGGGGTGCCACCTCCCCAGGCAGCCCATGCCACCTGGGGACACCTGGAATAGTTAGGAAAGTTTTCCTGACCTCAAGCCTCGATCTATCTCACTGCACAAGGCATCCAGACTCCAAAATCATCCAGGCTTCCAAAGTCCAAGGTTAGTGACCGGTCTACTGGGTTTCATTGTCAGAGTTGACCTCGCTCAGATGAACGCCAGCCCCGTGGCCCTCACAACCTGGCGTGGCAGGATCCGTGGCTTCTCTGGACACCCTCCCTACATCCTAGAGCAAGTCCCTGAAAAGCCAAAGAAGGAAATGAGCTCCTCCTCCCTCCTTTGTCTTTCTTTATACTCCTGATTCCTCAGCTTTGCTCTGTTTCACTCTCTGTCTCTGTTCCAGATTACCCAGGAGCACACTGGGCACAGGCCTAGGTCCCTAGGGTCTAATGCTTTAAGTGATACCTTTGGCAAGCAGAAATCCCACCATAGGGCCAGGCATAAGCTCCAGGCAAACAGTTTGTTTA